GGACAGTAATGTCTGTGATACGTAAATGCATCTCTGCATCTGCTGGGTCAGTCAGAGAGAGATGTATTGTGTATATCCAGTTTTAGATGTGAAAATCTCCTTCACTTTCCTTGAATTTGGGGGATTTCTTTGATTCTTCTTCCCACGGAGTTAATAAGAACCGTCTTATGTAAAAAGAGCTAAAGGTATTCGTGAGTCTTTTGCACATAGGACAGACATTGTCACATTTCAGTTGCCAAGAAATACTGCTACATTTTCTCCTACCATAGTATTAATCATTAATGGCTTTGTTCTCAATGAACAGCCCGAGTATCTTCAATGATGCTCTTGTGAGTGCTACTGCTTTGTGGTTGCAGGGAGAACATCACATGAGAAATGTGTTTGTTCAGAGCGGAGATGCACCACAAACACAGCGCTCTGACCCAGACCAGATTTCAAACGTTCCTAAGTGCAGGTGTGCGCAGATAAAGATTTTTAATTTGGCTTCTGGACCCCAGTTAGGAAGGATTGCACTGCAGACAGTCAATTTTCCAGCAGCGGCAACTCCATTCAGATGTCAGGGTATTTTGCTACAACAAAGGCTGATGTTGACATTTTTTCTTGGATAGAGACAGATGCGAGAGCTTCTGCCTCAAGGTTATCCATTATACAGTATATTAACTGGATGTTTTAGCATTGTGCTTCCTGCAGAGACAGAAATGAATGATGATTAATACTTATCAATTAAAATCTAATCTTTTCCCATGTGTATTTATATGCTGAACTTCAACTTACAAGGCAATTCTGTGACAGGAATTAGATATTCTTTTATTGGAGAGCACTGGTCAGGGATATATTATTCACTCATTTATTGTGAGTATTGCATTTGTGCCTAGATTTTGCCTAGGCATTGTATATAAACACAGTCTCTGTACAAAGGAGTTTATAAACAATTAGCATTGAAGGGAGAATTATTTTCTCTTCCTTCTTTGTAGCAGCACTGAGTAGGGGGGGAGGGATAGAGGAGAGAAGCAGCAAAGGTTGTACATGTTTTATGACCATAATTATAATTAACTATTTCAGAGATTAAAATTAAATTAAAATTAAATTATAATTTACTATTTCAGAGATTAAAACTGATGAAAAAAGACTCAAGGTTATGAGCTACCTCACAGATCTATGAGTTATTTAGCTCAGTCTAAACATACAGATATAAATCTTTTTTTTTTTTTTTATCTAGCCACTGTTAATAGACAGTGCCCACGAGTGTGATAGGTGCTTTACAGCCTTGAGATGCCAGTGCTGCATCACAAACTGAATAGTGGCCCAAGGGCCGTGGTAACAAAGAGCTCCAATCCCGCAGCCGCGCACAGAGGGGCAGCCCGGAAGGCTGGACTCTAAACACATAATGTGACAGCAAGGGAAAGGCAGGAGTGATTTTCATCTTCGAACTCTGGTCAGCACGGCTGTTAAACGCCATTTAATTCAGATATACTGTGCGATAACCCTTGTTCGTAAGTGATAGGCCGAATGGAACAATAAATGAAGGAGGCCACTCACAATCCAGGTGGAGAGTTTTAAAGTGGGCAGGTGATGTGGCTGGTTAGTTCTGATTTATTATAAAGGCATCTTTATGCCTTTTGCATTGCCTTCCATCAGTCACGTTAAACAGAACTGCATTCTTACAAGGCAGTTCATCCCCTACGCACATGCACACACTAATCACTCACGTCAAACTAATAGCAAACGCATATGAAGAAAGTACAGTGTGTGATGACTATTAGAAAAATCTTTTTTGTTTTAATATACTGGAAACAAGCATTTCAATTTAGTAAAGCCATTAGCAACTGGTATAAGTTTACAGCATCAACATTTTCAGAGACTGATCGTGACTGCTAAAGGTCTGAGACTTTTTCTGGTTTGTGGCAAAATTGCTTTTCACAAGTTGTCCCAGAAGATCTTTGTTTTTTTAAAAAAATATTTTGGAAATGAATGCTATAACGGGGAGAGGTGTAGAATTATGGGGATGAAAGCGCATGTGGGGAAAATAACCAACATCATCTCCCCGTTTGTATTTTTTGATGTGAC